GGAATGAAAGCTGATCTATGTTGGTAAGAAACGAGCAGCCTCAGATTCAGGCTGATCCAGAAGGCAGGGCTGGAATTTTCCTGAGATGCTCTAAGGAGAATCAGGACAGTGCCAAGGAGGCAAGGATAAGAGGTAAGGACCCACAACCAGGAACCGTATACGAGAGGGGGAGAGAAGACTAGGAAACAGTGTTTAGGATGATAGCCCTCTCTGTGACAGCCACTTTCAATAATCTGGATGTGCTCATGCAATGGTTTCCAAACAAAAATACTAGAAAATTTTATTTAAAAGCCTTTCTTCTTGATTTTTAAAATTGAGATATAATTCACATGCCATAGAATTCACCATTTTAAAGAGTACAATGGTTTTCAGTATGTTCACTAGGTTGTCATCATCCCCAAAAGAAACCCTGTATTACTAGCACTCACCATTGTCTGTAAGGACTTGCCTATTCTGGACATTTCATATATAGAGAGGATCATATAATATGTGGCCCTTTGTGTCTGACTTCTTTAATTTAGCATGATTTCATTATTTCATCCATGTTTTAGCATGAATCTGTACATCATTCCTTCTCATGGGTAAATCATATTCTAAGTGGATATACCACATCTTGTTTATCCATTCATCAATTGGTGGATATTTGAATTGTTCCAACTCTTGGGCTGTTATGAATAATAAACATTTGTATTCAAGTTTTTGTGTGGGCATATGTTTTCAATTCTCTTACGTTTATACCTAGAAATAGAATTGCTAGATCATATGGTAACTCTATGTTTCAAGAAACTGCTGAACTGTTTTACACAGCATCTGAATCTTGTTACATTTCCATAGCAATGCATGAACGTTCCAATTTCTCGACACCAATAACACTATTATCAGTCTTTCTTATTACAGCCATGCTAGTGGATATGAACTGGTTTTTCATTGTGGTTTTAATCTGCATTTCTCTGATAATGATGTTGGCCATCTTTTCATGTGCTTTTTGGCCACTTGTATATCTTCTTAACAGAAGCATCTTAAAAATTCTTTGCCCATTTTCAATTGGATTATCTTTTTCTATTGTTGAGTTGTTAGAATCCTTTATATATTCTGGATACCCAACGCTTAACAAATAAATGATTTGCAAATACGTTCTCCAGTTCTGCAGGTTGTCTTTTTACTTTTTGATGGTGGTCTTTGGCATACAAAGGTTTTTAATTTTGATGATATCCAATTTCTGTTTTTTCTCTTTGCTCATGTTTTAGATGTGATATCTAGAAAACTCTTATCTAATTCATTGTCTTAAAAAGTTATGTTTTATGTTTCCTCCTAAGAGTTTTATATGTTTAGCTCTTAAATGTAGGTCTTTAAACCATTCTGAGTTATTTTTGTATGTGGTGTGAGGTAGAGACCCAAATTCATTCTTTTTGCATGTGGCTATCCAGTGATACCAGCACCATTTATTGAAAAGACTATTCTTTCCCCCATTGAATTATCTTGGCATCCTTGTCAAAACTCAATTGACCAGGAATGTATTGGTTTACTTCTAGACTCTCAATTTGATTCCATTAGTCCATATATCTATTTATGCCAGTAATATACTTGATTACTGTAGCTTTGTAGTAAGTTTTGAAATCAGGAAGTGGGTTCTCCAATTTGGCTCTTTTTTATTTTTTACTAGAAGCCCAGTGCATGAAATGTGTGCACTGGGGAGGTGGGGGGTGTCCCTTAGCCTGGCCTGCACCCCCTCACAGTCCAGGAGCCCTCACTCCTTACCGCCCACCTGCTCGCTGCTCCTTACCACTTGGCTTACTGCTCCTTAGTGCTGCCATGGAGGCTGGAGAGGCTCCTGCCACTGCCACTGCGCTTGCCAGCCGTGAGCCCAGCTTCTGGCTGAGTGGCACGGCACTCCCCCTGTGGGAACGCACTGATCACCAGGGGGCAGCTCCTATGTTGAGCGTCTGCCCCCTGGTGGTCAGTGCCCATCATAGCGACTGGTTGTTCCACTGTTTGGTCAATTTGCATATTAGGCTTTTATTATATAGGATTTTATTCATTTCAGAAAGGAAGAAGGAAAGATGGAAATATCAATGACGAGAGAATCATCGATTGGCTGCCTCCTATATGCCCCATACTGGGGCTTGAGCCCATAACGTAGGCATGTGCCCTGACCAGAAATCAAATTGTGACCTCTTGGTTCATAACTCAACACTCAACCATTGAGTCACACCAGCCCAGCCAACTTGGCTCTTAAAAAAAATTATTTTGACTATTCTGGGTACCTTGAATTTTTAAATGAATTTTAGGTTCAGTTTGTCAATTTCTGTGATAAAGGCAATTGGAATTTTGATAGGTATTATAATTAATATGTAGATCTGAATCCGGACAAACAATAGGTCCAGGCTGCCTGTCACTACTTGAGTCAATTCAGGGGAGACAGGGTTGAATCATATATGAGCATTTATTCCAATAATGCTAGCATTATGGGTAAGCAGGTCATCCACAAAAATCTACTCTGCACCTCCCCCCCAACCCCCTGCCCCATAAACCAGCTGCTTATATTGGGTAGGACAAAGATTACATGGGGAAGTAGGAATTACAGGCTGGGGAAGTAGGCAATGCAAGCTGGGGCAGAACTCCATTGTTTGGGCAACAAAGTTGTTAATCTTTCCATAATAATAGGCAATTCTTAATTAAGAATGGACCACATTCCAAGGTGAACTCCCAGGTCACAGGGATGTACAACTCCCAGCCAGGTTAGAATATCCTTTCTTTAATCAGAACAAGATAATCACGGTTAACAAAGCATGGTTAATATTTCCTATAACTATAGCTAGTCCCCAATATTCCATTTTTGTCCCTAACAGATCATTTGGGGGAATATTGGATTCTTAACAATAGTAAGTCTCCCAATCAATGAACATGAGCTGTCTTTCCTTTAATTTTAGCCATTCTTTAATTTTTGCAAGAATGTTATGTGGTTTTCCTTTGGTAAATATATTCTTACATAGTTTATTTATTTTGATGGCATTAAAATGGAATTATTTTCTTTTTAAGAATACGTTTTTAATTGATTTCAGAGAGGGAGAGAGAGAGAAACATCAATGATGAGAGAGAATCATTGATCAACTGCCTCCTGCATGCCCCCTGCTGAGGATCAAGTCCACAACCTGGGCATATGCCCTTGATTGGCATCAAACCCAGGACCTTCAGTCTGTAGGCCGACACTCTATCCACTGAGCCTTGGATGGGGCTGGAATTTTTTTCTTGATTTCATTTTTAGGTTGTTAGCTGTTTCACTAAATGGCCAACTACATATAGATTTCCCATGGGAACCTTCAAACTAGTCATTGATATTCAATTGGTGAGTTACTTTCAAAGCCTACGCCTCCCCCTGAATTCTCCATTTTGGAGAAGTGAGTCAGAATCCACTCAATGACTTAGGCTGGAAATTAAGGAATAATCGTTGACGTCTCTCTTCATCCATCCCCATCTTCACCTTCACCACCACTTCCCCTGAATCTGTCTCCAACTCCTGAGGATTTTACCTTTGGATAGCTCTAGCATCTGTCCCTGTTTTATTTTATTTTATTTTATTGATTTTTTACAGAGAAAAAGGGAGGGGGATAGAGACTTAGAAACATCGATGAGCGAGAAACATCGATCAGCTGCCTCCTGCACACCCTCCACTGGGGATGTGCCTGCAACCAAAGTACATGCCCTTGACTGGAATCGAACCCGGGACCCTTTGTTCTGCAGGCCGATGCTCTATCCACTGAGCCAAACCGGTCAGGGTTGTCCCTGCTTTACTGCCAGTCTCTCACCTGTATAATATGGCAACAACACTGCAACACTCTTGCTGCTCCGAGTGCCCCTCCTCCAAGTCTCACTCCCAACAAAATAACCCCAATTAAAAAATCTAAAATTCCTTTAACTCTTCAAAGGATAGAGATAAAACTGCAGACCTCCCATCCTCCAGCCACAATAGTCCAACAGCATCGGAATAAACACACTGATTTTATAGATAAAAAAAGGTGATGCCTAGAGAGACTGACTTGAATTCCACTAGGTCTTTCATGGCTAAGCTCTTGTTTTTTTAAATTTTTCCTTATTGACAGATAGAGGGGTGGCATTGATTTGTTATTCCACTTAGTTATGCATTCATTGGTTGATTCTTGCACGTCCCCTGACCTGGGATGGTACCTGCAACCGTGAGACTCTAACCAACCGAGCTAACCGGCCATGGCTTAAACTCCTGCTCTTGAATCTAATGCCCTGGGTCTCTCCTCTGTAAAACGGCAGCAATAACTTTCTCATATGGTTGTCATAAAGAGGAAATGAAGAAACAACACAGGTAGAGAGCCGAGAACAATGCCTGGCGCCTAACACTTGGTTACCTTTCCTACTATTATGACCACTTAAGGTTTCCATGGCTCTTATTACTTTGCTCTTCGGTGTCCAGGAGTAAAGCAGTTCAACATCTGGTGGATTCTTTCCCTTCGACAACCCATTTCCTTACAGAAGTATCCAGCTCTTCGCCCAGAGCTGATTGCCTCTTCGGGTTCATTTGCCTCCTTGAGACACGGAGATAGCAGGGCGGCGTCAGGACCCTGACCGACGGCTGCAGCCTGAGAAGTGAGCACGCCGGAAGCAGCGCGTTCAGGTGAGAAGAGCCTGGAACCCAGTTAGGAGACCTCTGACCTCCGGTTCAGTGTGGTCTCTACTTCCTGTGCATCCTCAGGCAAGGGACTCTATGTCTCAGGCCTCCGTTTCCCTTTTTGTAGAAAAAAGGATTTATAATTCTTTGTGTTTCCTCTCTCACAGGGGTGCTGTGCCGACCCTGAAGTAGGATGCGGGGAAGAATGCTCCGTAATTCCCAGCCTGGCGCCTTAGAAATGGAGACGAGGAGGGGTACCCACGTGACAAACCCGGGCCTTCCCAGGCTTCCGAGCGCTGGCTAGAGCGTCTCGTCTCTATGGTGGATGGCGTTCTGGTCCGGTCCCCACGAAGTTGCTCTTCCGGGGCAATTGCCATCGCTTCCGGAGCGGGACGCGGTGAGCTGTGTCTCGCTGCGCTTCAGCTCCCTCTCGGTCTGCATCTTGGCCCTCACTACCGCCATGAGCTTCCTCAAGAGTTTCCCGCCACCCGGGTCGGCTGAGGGGCTCCGGCAGCAGCAGCCCGATACCGAGGCGGTGCTGAACGGGAAGGGCCTGGGCACCGGCACTCTTTACATCGCTGAGAGGTAGGCTCCCTGGTCCCGGGGGCTGCCCCTGCGCGCCACCTGGTGCGGAGGAGCGGGGCGAGGCGGCCACCTCGGGGGCTGCTGGGAGCGGGGCGGGCTCCGTGTGGCCGCGGCGACGCCTGTGCTGGGAGTCGCTGCTCGATGGTTGTCGTACTGTCTCCTCCGGAGCTTCCCTTTCTCTCTCCTTCAGACGGAGTTCTCATGCATGATGCCGTTCATCCTCCTGTTGACCGGAGGACTGGTGCGTGCGTTGCCCTTGACTCAAAATGTCGTTTTTAAGCTTTTGAGTTTTCAGAGCCTGAGTTAGGGTCGTCGACGTGCCTGCCCGTCTTTCCCTACGAACGGATGTGGGAGATGTTGCCCTGGGCAGGTCATGCAGGGTTAGAGATGGTTGTGGAACTCTTTGCAAGTTTGGTGAAGGACCTGATTCTTCTTCTGTAGGTGTGGGCTTGGGAGAGGGGCACCCTCCATCCCACGCAGGCTGCGTCGCATCCGGGGGGACCGGACCCCTCCCTCCCCGGTCCTGGCTCGCCTTTCCCTTGCTGGAGGGAAAAGCCCTTTTGTTTGGCATCCGGAGGCACTTTGTATTTTCACCGCCGGGCAGGTTGTAGTGTGGAACGAAGGCCCCTGTTTGCCTGGACGTGCGCTTCCATTCGTCGTCAAGCCCACAATGAAACCTCGAGTCCTTACTGCCCTTCAGAGCTTTCGGGCATTCTCTTCTGCTGCCTCACTTTGGCCAGAGAAAATCCTCTGCTTTTAAGAGCCCCCGTGATTACAATGGACAAACACACATAAATAGGAGAATCTCCATATTTATTGTCAACTGATTAGAAACTTTAATGACACCCACAAACTCCTTTTTTTTTTTTTTTTTACCAGATAACTGTGTAGTCACAGTCTTAACTCCCAGGGATGAAAGTCAGGGAGGCCAAAATTCTGCCGACCCCAGAGGGCACAAAAAATGTTAAAAAAACCAAAACCCTTGGTTTAGAGAGAAATCTAGGCATTGAACAATGTGGCTTTTGACCAGTCAGTCACTGAGAGAGGAAATATGGATGAGAGGAAAAACACGTTTGGACTGAGCGGCAGGTAATGGGTTTGCTTTGAACTGTGGGGATTAGTTAGACACAAAAATGTGTGTAGGTATCTTCGGAGAGTGGTATCACAGAGAGAGGTTTGGAAATCATTAGTATAAGTGTTAGCATATACTCTTTGGAATAGATTAGATGCCCCAGAGAGAACAGGGCCAAGGATAGGACCTTGGGGACACATCTGCATTAGGAGCGGACGGTCAGTAAAACCGGACAAGCACCTGTTGGGTGTTGGCAAGGAGACCTTCAGTGATCTTGAGAGAGCAGTTCCTTTTAAGTGGTGGAAAGTGGAGCACAGATGTATTCCCATTCCCTACATAGTTCTTTTTCATTTCTGTACATTGGCTCTTTCTATAACATAACCCTTTTTGGGGGGAAGTTTCTATACATGCTTTTTCATTTTGAAAAATTTTAAGCCTAAAGAAGACTTACATTGTTAATGTCCATAGACAAACCCTTCACAAAGATTTTTCCATTGTTAACATTTTGCCATGTGTATCTCTCCTTTTTTTTTTTTGAACTATTTGAGACTTGCAGACATGTTGTTACTTGACCTGTAAATACTTTAGAGTTTTTCCCCAAGAACAAGGACATTCTCCTGTATAACCACAATACAGTTATCACATTCAGGAAGTACAAGTCCTTCGAAATTCTTAACTGTTTAAAAAAAATTTATTTCAACTTTTTATTAACAAATTTTTGACTTTTTCTGTAAACATATTTTTTATTGATTTCAGAGAGGAAGGGAGAGGGAGAAAGAGATAGAAACATCAATGATGAGAGAGAATCATTGACCGGCTGCCTCCTGCATGTCCCTACTGGGGATCGAGCTTGCAACCCGGGCATGTGTCCTTGACCAGAATCAAACCCGGGACCTTTCAGTCTGCAGGTCGACATTCTATCCACTGAACCAAACCAGCTAGGGCATTTGCTTTTCTTTAAGAAAATAGTTTTGTTCCCTGGCCAGTGTGACTCAGTTGAGTGTCATCCCATGCACCAAAAGGTTGCAGGTACAAGTCCTGGTCAGAGTACATGCCTGGCCAAGTAGGGAGTGTGCAGGAGGCAGCCTATTGATGTTTCTATCTCTCCCTTCCTCTCTAAAATCAATAAAAACATTTTTAAAAAATTACTATTAGAAGAAAATATTTTTTGTAAAAAAAAAATATATACACACACAAAGAATGTAAGTTAAATATCTATGGTTTAAAGAATTATAATTAAACTAACGTGTATCTACTGTCCAGGCTAAGAATACAACATCACCAGTACCTTGGATACCTCTGTTCACCCCTCTTTACTCATTGTTCGTCTCTTTTCCCATTTTGTCCTTTCCTGCATGGCATTTCCAAGTCTTGATAGAATCAAGATCTCAACAAACTGGGAATGCTTCCTAGAGGAAGTGACAAATGAGTATTAGCAGTTATCTAGGGGAATGAGATGGGGAAAGGGGGAAATGTTCTAATTAGAAGCAGGATGCTGAGAGGTAAGGGTGAGAAACTATTGTGCCAGGATCTATCTATCTGTATATATATGTGTATTTTATATCTATATACTAGAGGCCCGATGCATGAAATTCGTGCAAGGGGCTTGGTCCTCACAGCCCCGGCTTCATCTAGAAGGTTGTCCAGCTGTCCAGTCTAATTAGTATATTACATTTTTATTGTCCTATATTAGAGGCCCGGTGCACAAAAATTTGTGCACTCGGGGGGTGGGGGGAAGGTCCCTCAGCCCGGCTTGTGCCCTCTCAGTCTGGGACCCCTCAGGGGATGACCATCTGCTGGCTGAGGCCTGCTCCCCAGGGGATCAGGCCTAAGCTGGCAATCAGGCATCCCTCTGGCAGCCTGGCAGCTCAGGGGATGTCCACTTGCCAGCGGGGAGCAGACCTAAGCTGCAGTCGGACATCCTTAGCGCTGCTGAGGAGGCAAGAGAGGCTCCCGCCACCACTGCTGTACTGGCAGCCATCAGCCTGACTTGTGGCTGAGCAGAGCTCCTCCATGAGGGAGCTCACTGACCACCAGAGGGCAGGTCCTGCATTGAGCATCTACCCCCTGGTGGTCAGTGTGTGTCATAGTGACCAGTCATTCCCAGTCATTTTGCTGTTAGGGTCAGTTTGCATATTACCCTTTTACTATATAGGATAGAGGCCTGGTGCACAGGTGGGGGCCGGCTGGTTTGCCCTGAATGCTGTCCCGGATCAGGGTGAGGGTCCCGCTTGGGTGCCTGGCCAGCCTGGGTGAGGGGCTGATGGCTGTTTTCAGGCTGCTCGCACCACCTTCAGGGTGGGGGTCCCCCTGGGGTGCCTGGCCAGTCTGGATGAGGGGCTGAGGGCTGTTTTCAGGCAGGCCAAGCCTGCAACTGAAGCTCCCAGTCTCTTTTTTTCTTTTTTCTTTTTTATTCTGGGATTTATTTACCTTCTGTAATTGAAACTTTGTTGCGGCTCCAGCTCAGAGGCCAGAGGCCAGCAGGTATCTGGGGTTTGTTTAGCTTCTATAATTGCAACATTGTTGCTTAGACTGGAGCTCAGAGCCCAGCCGCGGCAGGCAGGGAACCTTGGCTTCCTCCATCACTGGAGCAAGCAAGCCTCATGTTCGCTTCAGCTGCATGACTGCCGGCCGCCATCTTTGTTGGCAGTTAATTTGCATATCCTGCTGATTAGCCAGTGGGAAGCGTAGTGGAGGTATGGTTAATTACCATATTTGTCTATTATTAGATAGGATAATAAAAGCGTAATATGCTGAGTGTCCAGTCATCCATTCAACCAATCAAAGTGTAATATGCTAATGATATGCTAAGGCTGCTCAACCACTCACTATGATGTGCACTGACCACCGAGGGAGACAGTCAACCGGTAGGCCAGTCATTATGACATGCACTGACCACCAGGGGGCAGATGCTCCGACCAGTAGGTTAGCTTGCTGTTGGGGTCTGGCTGATTGGGACTGAGTAAGATGGACCAGACACGCCCTGGAGCCCTCCTGTGGTCCCTCCCTGGCTGGCCAATCTCTCATGTCCCTCCCTGGCCCTGATCATGCACCAGTGAGGTCCCTTGGCCTGGCCTGCTCCCTCTCTCAATCCTCAGGGGATGTTGGAGAGCCAGTTTTAGCCCGATCCCACAGGCTAGGCTGAGGATCCTCACTGGTGCATGAATTCATGCAGTGGGCCTCTAGTTATAGATATAAAAGGCTGGGTGACCAACCTGCTGGTACATATGATACCCATTGGCAAGTTAGAAGTAAGCATCGACTCGCGCATGCGTGATACATCTAAAGCTCTCATTGGTGCCAATTGCACGCGTGTTTCAATTTTATACTATGTTATATATACTATTTTGGCATGTAATTTTTTATACTAATGTAATTACTGCATGAATTTTTCTTCTAATTAATTTCCATTCTATGTGCACGAATCCGTGCACTGGGTCACTAGTATTGTTTTAACAAAGTATATACTTAAAATCACAATATAATATATTTTAACACATTGTATGCGGGAAACGTATTTATACGTTTTACGTTGACTGGTAGTAGAGCGCGGGACACGTATTTTATAGACGTGGGATACGTTTTTTATAGACTAGCGGTAGAATGTGGGTAACGTATAAATACGTAAATTAAAGTTATCGTAATTTTACTGAACGTTGCCATTTGCGCAAAAAATTAGCAAAAATGGCCCGCGCCACCTGTTAGCGCGCGATAAAAACTACCCGCAAACAATGTGTTAAAAAGCATTTACACACACACACACACACACACACACACATGAATACATACAGTACACACAATTGAGCAGTTCTTTATTTGAGGAATGAGGGAGAAAGAGTGGGAAAATAATAAAGCATGTTCATGAGCTTGGCTTATAGCCCAAAGGGTTTGGGTGAACTGCTTTAGGAGGCAAAGAGGGTAGGGTCTGATTTGGTTTTAGGTAAATATAGTTTCTCATATATATTGAGAGATTTAGAATTCTCAGGTTTATTTTCAAAGCTTAGTTTTCATAGAAAGTTGACATTTTAGCCAAATAAGAAAGGGAATAGAGCAGTGGTTCTCAACCTGTGGGTCGTGACTCCTTTGGCGGTCGAACGACCCTTTCACAGGGTTCACCTAAGACCATCCTGCATATCAGATATTTACATTATGATTCATAATAGTAGCAAAATTACAGCTGTGAAGTAGCAACGAAAATAATTTTATGGTTGGGTCACAACATGAGGAACTGTACTTAAAGGGCCAGAAGGTTGAGAACCACTGGAATAGAGAGGCTTGAATTATTCAAAGTAGATAATTTGAAACAGGTAAAAGAAAATAGGTAATTAAATTAAAAAGGTAATTTTGCCCTGGCTGGGTGGCTCTATTTGTTGGTGTCATCCCATATACCAAAAGTTTGCAGATTCATTTCTCAGTCAGGGCACATACCTAGGTTGTGAGTTCGATCCCCGATTAGGGCCCCTCCCCTTCTCAAATTAATAAGCATATTCTTGGGCGAGAATTTAAAAGAATTAAAAGGTAATTTAAACTTAGAAGTAATGTGTTTTATGTCTTAATCCAAAATTAGTGTAAAACCAAATAAACCAACTCAAATTCAAGACCTTTCTTACCTTCCTGTCCTGTTCTTCACCCCATGCCAGGAATAAAGGACACTGATCATATTGTGCAAAAGCATTGTAAATTAGCAAAACATTCTTCTGCATGTTTATTGGCTTTCTAATTCTTGTTTTTTTCTTTTGTAACTCATGCTTTCTTTAGGACTGGGTATAGTTAATTTGATTTCTTGGTTTTGGAGGCATTTCTTTTAGAATACATAAAAAGATGACAAAATCAGAACTTAATGACAGAGTAAATGATGCTTTTAAGTGGAACTTGCTTCTGCTCTGTAGAGTATATGATCTACATCCATATATAAGATTATAAGAGCTCTGCGAGTGATGCTCCGCTGAGGCAGCATTTGTGTCCTGCCAGCAGAAGGGAACTACAGAGCAATTATGATGTGCTTTTTAAAGTCAAGGCCATAATTTGGTAGGCACTGAGTCTATGTTTATAGTATTTCAGTTTTTCCATCTCCATATTGAGTCATTAAAGTAAGTTTTATGGCTCTGGATATTTGAAGTTTTGGATGCCCACATTCGGAATGCTCCTTTTAAAGTGTTTGCTTAAAATAATAATACTTTTAGTAAGGGACTGGCTATACTTCTGTGACATATAACCACTATTTCATTTCCACAGTAAGACAAAAGCAGTGGCCAGGAAAGGCACATGTAGCACACACAATCTAATTGCAATAATAAAATCCATTTCCTTAGGACTAATGGGATGAGTCATTCTGAAAAATCATTTCTAGAGCTTTTACCACTTTAAGCTCCTTAAGATTGATTACTTTAAGCCTCCCACATTTTCTTTTTTAAATAAGCATGTTCAATGAAAATCTTTCCAAATGATAGTATGTACTTTTTTTTTGTTTTTGCTTTTCTAAGTGTACAATTTATTACATTTTAGTGTACTTACAGAGTTGTACAATTTTTATCACGATCTAATTTTGTCTTAAGTTTTGATAAGTAAGGGTCATCATGTGTTATACACTTATACTGTTAGACATTGATTTCCTTTAGAGGCACTGAAATGTGTTTAACCTCTCCTTACATTGAATATGAATGAGCTGACTGCTGCACTGTCATTGTTCCTGCCCAAGGGAGTCCTAGCTTCTCTTATTGTATCTGTTCTTTGCTTGGTTACAAATTAGAAAACCAGACTTGTTAAAATTGTATAGAAAATAGAATGATACAGGGGTTATATTGTCTTAACTTCTTTTTAAAATAACTTTATTGAGATACTGTAATTCACGTAACATTCAATTCATCATTGTACATTTAAAGTATACAATTCAGTGTGGTTTTTTTAAATCTTTATTGTTCAGATTATTACAGTTGTTCCTCTTTTTTCCCCCCATAGCTCCCTCCCACCCGGTTCCCACCCCACCCCGTGCCCTTACCTCCCCCCACTGTCCTCATCCATAGGTGTATGATTTTTGTCCAGTCTCTTCCCGAACCCCCCACACCCCCTTACCCCCGAGAATTGTCAGTCCACTCCCTTTCTATGCCCCTGATTCTATTCTATTCACCATTTTATTCTGTTCATCAGATTTTTTATTCACTTGATTTTTAGATTCACTTGTTGATAGATATGTATTTGTTGTCACTTTGTTGTTCATAATTTTTATCTTTACCTTTTTCTTCTTCCTCTTAAAGAATACCCTTCAGCATTTCATATAATACTGATTTGGCCCTGAACTCCTTTAACTTGTTCTTATCTGTGAAGCTCTTTATCTGATCTTCAATTCTAAATGATAGCTTTGCTGGGTAGAGTAATCTTGGTTGTGAGTTCTTGCTATTCATCACTTTGAATATTTCTTGTCACTCCCTTCTGGCCTGCATAGTTTCTCCGCACTTCCTCCCAGTCTCAGTGCGCTTTTCTCTTTCCTTCTAGTTGTATAACTTCCACTCAGCCAGCCTTCCTGTGGTTCTGGATGATATCCGTTTTGTCTTTTAGTTGTAGTTTTGATGTGGTTGTGCGAGGCAGCAATTTCAGGTGTTTACCTATGCCACCATCTTGGTTCCTCCCAATTCAGTGGTTTTTAATCAATATACAGAGTTCACAATCAATTTTAGAATATTTTCATTTCCCCCTAAAGAAATCAACACCCATTAGCAGCCACTGTATTTCCCTCTAGCCCTTTGTAACCACTATATTGCATTAACTTTTTTCTTTTTTTAGATATTTTTATTGATTTCAGAGAGGAAGGGAGAGGGAGAGAGAGAAACATCAATGATGAGAGAGAATCATTGATTCGCTGCCTCCTGCACGCCCCCTATTGGGGCTTAAGCCCGCAAACTGGGCATGTGCCCTTCACTGGAATTGAACCCAGGATCCTTCAGTCTGCGGGCCAATACTCTATCTACTGAGCCAAACCAGCTAGGGCTATATTTCCTTTCTATACCAATAAAATATTTGCATTTGACTACTTTTGAGCTTAAAACTATTACCTTGCTTATCTGTGGCTTTCTCTTAAAGCTGCAAAGTACATGAAAGTCTTAATAAAGTCTGTCTTTCAGTGTGATAATTATTTTATAACTTGTGGTAAGTGTGATTATAGCCATTTCATGTGTATATCATTTAATGTAGGATTAGTGGAGAAATGAGTAATTCCCAAGTATTTATTTCATACTTACATGCTGAGCACTGTGCTAGTGGTTTTGAAGACCATTAAATAAAGAATATGACAGTTTCTCTGGTAGCTCACATTCGGGTGAGGGTATGTACCAGATTCATTATCATAAAGTTAAATGCTAAATGGTATATTACTGGGCATAAGTGCAACTTAGGAAAAGAAGAAATCATTATAAACTCAAGTAATTGGAGTGAAGACTCAAGGAAGAGCTGGGACCTCACCAGATGAAGATGATTTGCAAAAGCAAAGAAGGTGCCTGAAGACCTTCCAAATAAGGGCAAGCATAAGGGCATAGAAACACATATGTGAATTAAGAAAAATTGCATTTCAAATTTACCTGAAATATTAGCTGGAGAAAAAGAGACAATAACAGAGTTGGTTTTAAATTCAATTCCTGCTACTGAATTTTCTTATTTTAGGAATATTTCTAAATAGTAAGCTTGATACTGTTATGCATAAAAATGTCTAAGCTGAACCTTTATAAATTTCAGGAGGTTAAATTAGGATTTTAATTGCTTGAAATAATCTACTTAAAACATGTTTTTCAGCCGCCTGTCTTGGTTAGATGGCTCTGGATTGGGATTCTCACTGGAATACCCCACCATTAGTTTGCATGCAGTGTCCAGGGACCTAAATGCCTATCCACGAGAGCATTTATATGTTATGGTGAATGCCAAGTTTGAAGGTATGTGTGGTAATTTAATCTTATATTTTTAATTTGTATTTATTGATTTGGGGAGGGTGGCGAGAGAGAAATTGATTTGTTGTTCTACTTATTTATGCATTCAGCCAAGGGCTAAGGTAATCTTGAGCTGCCTTTGGTAAAATATTACATATTTAAAAGCAATCTTTGATCATAATCAATGTAATGTTCAAGCCATTGGCCGATTTTGGATAATAGTTTCTTAAGCAAAATTTCAGCACAGCAAAATAAGTTGGACATTGCCTTTTTTCTATATGCTTGCATTTAGAATTGTTCAGTTATTATGGATTTATAGTTCTAATTTTTCCTCTTGGGTTTAACTGTTTATTTTCTTTCTCTCTGTAAAGGCATTTATATTTGGCACCCTTACAAGCTTGGATCAGTATATTTTGTGCTTCCAAGAGTTTATGATAGAACCTGATTTGTTTTGTTTTATTATCAATGGGGATAATGTTGCCCTCCCCCTACACTTAGCAGTGACATTTTGATTATCATGACTGGAGTGGGGAGTAGTGCTACTGGCATCTAGAAGTTAGAAATCAGGGATGCTGCTAAACATGCTACAATGCAAAAGACAGCCTTCCACATCAAAGAACTATTCAGTTCAAATGTCAGTAGTGTCAGGATTGAGAAACCATGTTATACAAGATTCCCATATTTTGCTGTTGAAGATAACTACCAGGATTCATAAAATTCTAGTAAGGTTGAAAAAGATGGAGTAAGAAAGATTAAAAAATCAATTCTTTAGGCTGTAAACTATGGGTTGTAAGAATTCTGAACAACCTCTGAAGAGGTAGCTCAGTTGGCTAGTGTGTCGTCCCGATATGCCAAGGTTGCAGGTTTGATCTCTGGTCAGGTCACATACAGGAAGCAGCCAGTGAAGGCATGAGTAAGTGGAATAACGAATCACCGTGTTTCTCTCTCTCTCTCTACCACTTCCTCTCTCTCAAAAAAACAACAACACGTCAATTAAAAAAATTGGAATTCTCAATGAGAAACAAGTTAGGCTCAAGATAAAAAGCAAGATGTTGGTACACTATATTGTGTTAGTTTAATATGTTCATTTTTTGTGTGTAGAAGTACAGAACTTCGGGATTGAAGGACATTTGTTACACCTTTAGTAAACTTGCTTTTAAGTAATGGGTTGCTTTTCTCTGAAATAGTGTATAAAAGGCAATCCCATAAGTTTGCCTATTGAACTCTATTGCTCCTTCATTTGGGGGGTTTAATATAATTTCAGATATAAGATGACCATTTATATTCAGTATGACACCAATTATTTAGTAATTTTTAGGGCTTTTGGCATGTTCGGCCTCATTAAGTGGTAATGACTGATTCAGCTATTTGAAAATATTTTTGTTATAAGATTTCAGTGCCATTGGAAAGGGTCCAAAGATAGATAAAAATCTAGTTGAGTTTGAAAGAGAGGGTAAGGAAAAGTAAAAGCCTTTGACCTTGGGTTGTAGTAAGACTTCCACATGAGGTATTGGACACAAAGTTTACTTTCCATCTAAGTAAATGTAACTGTGATTTCATAACCAAGATTACTAGGTATCATGTTTAGTTTAAAGGCATTCATTCATTCATAGAAATGGGAAACCTTAGCGGTACCTTTGTCAGTCAATTCCAAATGCTGATTTGAAATGCCCATAAATAATGTAGAGCACTGCAATTGGTGAATGGCAAAAAATAAGGTTGAAGAGGTAGGGTTCAAATAAACCTAGCTTGAATAAAACTAGATAAAGAGAAAAGCACACTGAATAAGAAGACTCATTAACTTGGTAGGCAAAACATTTTCATCTCTGCACCCCAATTTCCTTTTTTATTTATTAATTTGTTTACTTTTAAAAATATATACATATTTTATTAATTTTTTTTTTTTACAGAGAAGAAGGAAGAGGGATACAGAGTTAGAAACATCGATGAGAGAGAAACATTGATCAACTGCCTCCTGCACACCTCTTACTGGGGACGTGCCCACAACCAAGGTATATGCCCTTGACTGGAATTGAACCTGGGACCTTTCAGTCCACAGGCCGACGCTCTATCCAGAGCCAAACCAGTTAGGGCTAATTTGTTTACTTTTTAATCTTCACCTGAAGATATTTTTCCAGTGATTTCTAGAGAGAGTGGAAGAGAGAAGGAAAGACAGAGAGAAATATCAGTGTGAGAGAAACACATCGATAGGTTGCCTCCTACACGAGCCCGGACCAGGGCCTGGGCCAGGGAAGAGCCTGTAACCTAGGTATGTGCCCCTGACCGGAATCGAACCCAGGACCCTTCAATCTGCAGGCCAACTGCTCTATCCTCTGAGCCAAACCGGTGAGGGCTCTGCACCCCACTTTCATCCAGAAAAATCAGGAGATTATAGTACTCATTAGATCTTAAACCTGGCTGCACATTAGAAACCTGGGGCTCTTGTTAAAAAATGCAAATGTTGGGAGTCCCAAACTAGGAGGTAAGGATTCAGTAGGCTTGGGTAGGCTTTTTTTTTTTTTTTTTTTTAGGTCCTTTAAAATATATGTATATTATTGATTTCAGAGAAGGAGAGAGAGACATCATTGATGAGCGAGAATCATTGATAGGTGCCCGCCTGCACTCCCTCCACTGGAGATCAACCTGGGCATATGCTCTTGACCCGAATCAAACCCAGGACTCTTCAGTCCACAGGCCAATGCTCTGTCTACTGAGCCAAAACGTCTAGTGCTGGGGTAGGCAATGAAAGTATTTGCTCTATAATTATTTTCTTTTAAAATATCTTTTTATTGATTTTAGAGAGGGAGAGAGAGAAACATCAATGATGAGAGAGAATCATTGATTGGCTGCCTCCTGCACCTCCCACATGGGAGTTCAAGCAGGCAACTTGGGTATGTGCCCTGACCAGGAATCAAACTGTGACCTCCTGGTTCATAGGTCAACGTTCAACCACAGCTATGTCGGCTGGGCTATAATTATTTTCTTGAAATTGATGGAGTTAGGACTTTTCTATCTTACTTGGATTACATTTATTTCATTGATTTTCCAGTTCTTTTTTTCTGGAATTCCACTCTTCTCATAAGTTACACATGCTTGGATCCTATTTCCCCAAATTTTGTTCCTTTCATCCTGATTCTCTAAGCTCCAGACTTCTTTTCTCTTTGGCTTACCTCCATATCCTCTTTATTTTTTAAAAATTGTTAATTAAAATTTGGTGTTTTTATTGATTGATTTTAGAAAGAGAAAGGAAAGGAGAAACATCGATTTGTTTTCCACTTATTTATGCATTCATTGGTTGATTCTTGTATGTGCCCTGACTGGGGATAGAACCCACAGCCTGGGACAGTACTCTAACCAACTGAGCTACAGACCAGAGCCTCCATAGGCCTTTCTAAGATAGACCATCAGATTATTGTTAAGGACATTAGATGATTTTTAAAATAACTAAAAATTCATTGCCATTGTTGAAAATTTAGAAATATTCAAAAAGACTGCAAGTATGGCAGCCACTACTATGATGATGAATGTTGGTCATGGTCATTATTTGTAAAAATACTTCATTACATTTCTGTTTATTGCCCTAAGGCAGATTCCTAAGGATACAGGGTTGCCAAAAGTAGGTTTACAGTTGTGAGTATGCAAAACGCAGATTTTATTCTTGTATTACTATTTATTAATTATTATATTTTCTGTATTACGACAAAACCTACTTTTGCCCATCCCTGTATAAAAGAAACTTAATAGTATGTTTGTCTAGAGAGAGAACTAGGGTTGTACCATCTAGATAGACTCTTTCAATTATCTTATTACCAGCATGTATTGTTTTTACAAGTTAAAAAATGATGTTAATTCAGTTATAGAATAATAATTACAGTGTGATACCATTTTTCACCCTCACCCGAGGATATGCTTTTTATTTATTTTAGAGAGAGGAAGGGAGAGAGAGAAAGAGAGAGAGAAACATTGATGTGAGAGGGAAACATCGATCGGCCGCCTCCTGCACACGGCGCCCTGACCGGGAATTGAATCCACAACCCGGGTATGTGCCCCAACCAGGAATGGAACCCATCACTCTTCGGTGTACTGGACGACGCTCTAACCGACCAAGCCACGCCAGCCAGGGCTCATTTTGTTAAAATGCATTGAAATGTTTGGTGGTACTATAGTATTTAACTTTTTATAATTATTTAAAGTTCTCTAATATTTTGTATTGTTTTAAGTTGTTTCTGGAGGATATGTATATTATATTTAACAATATATAACAGAAACAGGACAGAAAAAGTTCTATTTAATTGCTTATTTAAAACAGTAGTGGCCATTTAAATATTTTTCCCTTTTTGCTTATCCTTTTTCATTCTACAGTAAGCTTGTATGACTTATAAAAATAAAAGTTAAAAATTTAGTAGATATCTCCCTATAATTGATTCCTATGAGTAGAATTGTTACATTAAAGGTAATAAACATTTTTAAAGCTCTTAACATATAGTCATATTGCTTTCCAGAAAGCTTATATCAATATATACTTTGAATAGTAGTATATAAGAATACCTTTTCACCTTTATCTGCATGGAGAATCTTAATTGGTTTTAAACATGTTTTATGTTTTGGGAGTCTATTTAAGTATTTTGTTGACTCTTTTCCCCTTATGAAGTAATTAAAACACTGAAAAGTTGACAGAGTAATAAAAATTTTTCCTTATTTAATATCCAGCATTAATTATAACATTTTTCATAGTTATTCTAGTGTTTCAAATAAATAAAAGTACATGAATACTGTTGAAATCCCTTTTGTGTCCTTTCCCATTTCATTCTTTACTCTCTGTCTCTGGAATTAAATGTTATTCTAAAGATGGTATGTGTCCTTCCTGTCTATGCTTTTAGATTTTTACTGAATATATACCTCTAAGCAGTATAATGATTTGGTTTTATGTTTAAAGTTTTAATGTAAGTAGCATTATGTATATTCTGCAACTACCTTTTTCACTGTTTTATTATTTTTTTTATATATTTTATTGTTTTTTTTTTACAGAGAGGAAGGGAGAGGCATAGGGAGCTAGAAACATCGATGAGAGAGAAACATCGATCAGCTGCCTTCTGCACACCCCCTACTGGGGATGTGCCCGCAACCAAGGTACATGCCCTTGACTGGAACCGAACCTGGGACCCTTGAGTCTGCAGGCCAACGCTCTATCCCCTGAGCCAAACTGGTCAGGGCTATATTTTATTTTTTATTTTATTTTATTTTATTTTATTTTCTCGAGGATATGCTTTTTATTGATTTTAGAGAGTGGAAGGGAGCAAGTGAGAGAGAGAAACATCAATTAGTTGCCTCCCGTATGTGCTCCAACTGGGAATCGAACCCACCACCTTTTGGTGTACAGGACAATGCTCCAAGCAACTGAGCCACACCAGCCAGGTCTTTTTAAATGATTTTTTTAAATTTTACTTTTCAATTACAGTTTACATTCAGCATTATTTTGTATTAGTTTTAGGTGTACAGTATAGTTGTTGGATGATTATCTTTTAAAATATATTTTGATACATATAAATTACATTTGTTCATTTTATTAATTTATTTTTTATTGATTTCAGAGAGGAATAAAGAGGAAGAGAGAGATAGAGACATCAATGATGAGAGAGAGTCATTAATCAGCTGCCTCCTGCATGCCCCACACTGGGGATATTGAGCCCAAGTGCCCTGACCAGGAATCGAACCTTGACCTCCTAGTTCATAGGTCAATGCTCAACCATTGAGCTACATCGTCCGGGCAACATATAGTACTTTAATAAACATATATTTGTGTACAAACTCCTTGTGCACACAATATGTGTTTAGACCAGGAATTGCTGGGTAATAGCATTTCCAGAGTGGTTGTAGCAATTTCCACTTCTACCAGCAGCATATGTATGTTCTGTTTGTATTTTTTCTTGCATACAGACTTTGTTAATTTATTTGTTGGGTCAGTTAACTTTTATGGGCTTCGATTCTCATCTGTAGGTTGTTCTTGATGGCATTGGAAAACTGTACTTATTAGAGGCCTGACTGTGTTTCCTCACCCCTGCCATCACCCCGAGGGGACTTGGAATCCCTAGGGCTTAGTGAAGTACAGGGTGACTAGACCAGAGAGACTATCCCAAAGTGTTTTTTAGTTCTAAAATAACTGTGTTCTTGTAATTTGAAGTAAAAATTGAAATTGTAGTATTTAGATAGATCAATAAGCATCCTTTAAGAAATTCTTTTAGGCTTTTTTCCAAAACAAGCAACATCATTAAAAAGTTATTTTTATCCCCTTTATAGAAGAATCAAAAGAATCTGTTACTGATGAAGAAGAGGAAGACAGTGATGATGATGTTGAACCTATTGCTGAATTTAGATTTGTTCCTAGTGATAAATCAGCTTGTGAGTGTTCTATAGAATTGATTCTTTTCTCCTTACATACCAGGTATTCCCCGTTGACACACACACTTTTAGTTTTACCCTCATTACCTCCGTCTGCTTTTTCTTCATTTTAGCATCTATAATATCATTGAGATCCAGATATCTATACATTCATTATAATAAAGATAGTGAATTAACTTTATAGTATAAGAAGCAAATGTACAATTACACAGAATGGGAATAAAAAGATAGTGAATGTATAGTAGCCACCATAGTCTTTCGTGTGCTTTGCGAATGGAGGAATCTGGTTATTTGTATAAACTGTGAAACATAATTTATGATTGAATCTCACCAGATGGAGGGCAGAGGAGTCATGGCAGTTCCAAAGTGGGAGATGTCAGGATAAGCCCTTTTAATGGTGAGGGGCTTCACTCTGATACTAGCAGTCTGACCAGGATTCTCTGACTCTTTTCCTCAGAAAGTCCGACCAGGCATGAAGAGATCTCAATAATATCTTGAAATGAACTCTTACTATTTTGTGACATAACTGCCATGAATCACTTTTCAAGATTGATTCACCTTGAATTTGGCAGGTTTTGTGAATATTGTGACCCTAGCATACCTCTTGTTTACCCATTAAATTTATTTGCACTGTGGGTTATTTAATTAAATTTTAATTGCACATTGGCCAGGAAGAAATATTAATTATAATTTAATTTTCTTGTTCAGTGGAGGCAATGTTCACTGCAATGTGTGAATGCCAGGCTTTGCATCCAGATCCTGAGGATGAAGATTCAGATGATTATGATGGAGAAGAATATGATGTGGAAGCACATGGTTAGTGAAATAAGTTTTTTAAAAGTGTGTGTGTATGTGTGTGTGTGTGTGTGTGTGTGTGTGTCTTTCATTTTAAGCATTTATTTGTAGTAAGGGGTAGGATTTTAGATTTTTTAAAAATGTATTTTTATTGATTTCAGAGAGGAAGGGAGAAGGAGAGAGATAGAAACATCAGTGATGAGAGAGAACCATTGATCAATTGCCTCCTGCACACCCCACACAGGATTGAGCCCCTACCATTAATCAAACTGTGACCTTCTAGTTGATGCTCAACCACTGAGCCATGTTGGCCAGGCCATAAATCTTTATATCTCTGATAAATACCAGTATAATATGATTCTATTATAATGAAAGTGAATGCCATAATTCATGTCTAAGCCAAAATGGAAAAATTTATGGGCTTTCCAAGCTAGATGGGAAAAATAGAGATTATTAGGGTGAAAAGAATGGATAGAGATCAGTAGAAGGAAAGAAAATGGTAGCTAGGAAAGTGGGTAGTCAGGAGAGTCTTTTTAAGTTGATGTAGCTGCCATCAGGGAACAAAACTTCTTCCTTTATCACTTAAAACCTGTATCATCTACAGTTTTATTTAACACATCCCTTTAGACAACTCACTGCCAAAGTTACTTCTTTTTCCCAGAACAGACCTTATTTTTTTTTTATTTTTTTTTTATATATTTTATTAATTTTTTACAGAGAGGAAGGGAGAGAGACAGAGAGTTAGAAACATCGATGAGAGAGAAACATCGATCAGCTGCCTCCTGCACACCCCCTACTGGGGATGTGCCCACAACCAAGGTACATGCCCTTGACCGGAATCGAACCTGGGACCCTTCAGTCCGCAGGCCTTCGCTCCATCCACTGAGCCAAACCGGTTTCGGCAGACCTTATTTATTTAAAGGTATTTTCCCTTCCTCAGACCAGAATGCAGTCAGTAGCTTGGTAAAGAGAGTCTTGTGACTCGAGATGCCCGCTATTCTCTTTTCCCCATGGTCTTGACCTGTGTACCAGTCTGGCTATGCAAAACCCTTTCCTCCATGAATGTTTACTTCTTGGCCTGAGACAAGCTAATTTCTGGCATTTTCTTTCTTTCTTTTTTGCCTTTTCAAGTTTTTATTTTCATACATTTTTTTTGTATTAAAAAGAAAAGCATAATTACCACAAATTACAAAGGACTAAAACAGACTAGAATAATAAATCACTTCAGCCTGGAAAGCAGATACTCTGAATAATATTAATGTTATAATACAAGCTCATTCAAGTATTTTACATTGTTTGTCCTTTTAAGTGATATCCTAGCACATGGTAAAGATAATGTACTATGAGCATAATGTGGAACCTTCTCTGCAAAGCCAGGTGACATGTTTTCCTCTCCAGTGAGAAATGGGCTGCAAGTTCCTATTTTCTCTGCCGCTGCCGTCAACATGGCTGAAGGAGAGGGTGGGGCTGGGGCAAGTCCAAGGACCCTCCACACAGGAGTTACTATGGGGTCCCACTCAGGAGGGCGGCATTTTCTTTTATATAGAGGCCCGGTGCACGAAATTCATGCACGTGTGTGTGTGTGTGTGTGTGTGTGTGTGTGTGTGTGTCCCTCAGCCCAGCCTGCACCCTCTCCAATCTGGGATCCCTCACAATCCAGGACTGCTGGCTTGCCTGCCTACCTGATTGCCCATAACCACTTCTGCCTGTCAGCCTGATCATCCCCTAACCACTCCCTGCCAGCCTGATCGATGCCTAACTGCTCCCCTGCCAGCCCAATTGCCCCTAACTGCCCTCCCCTGCAGGTCTGGTTGCCCCTAACTGCCCTCCCCTGCAGGTCTGGTTCCCCCCAACTGCCCTCCCCTGGAGGCCTGATCACCCACAACTGCCTTCCCCTGCCGGCCATCTTGTGTCCACATGGGGGTGGCCATCTTGTGTGTTGGAGTTATAGTCAGTTTGCATATTACTCTTTTATTAGATAGGATATCTAAACACATCCTCATCTTAGCTAAGATTTTTTTGGATGCTTCTTTCTTAAAAATACTTTTTGCATTTTCCAGAATTTCTTTTTTTTTTTTTTAAGTAGCATCTATTTGAATAAGGAAAAAACCTTCAGTGCCAATTAATGGCAAATTAATTTGCACTCATCTATATATTTTCTACCTTTGAATAACATAAGACCATCTGGCCTCAGGAACACCCTCTTTTCCTTCTAGTTCTTGGACATTTGATTCTTTGGGAATTGCTGTTTCATGACTCACTATCTCTTGTAATCCCTTCTCATTCTAGATGGGCATTTTCTTGATCTCTCTTTTCCAACAGATGGCCTATATATGTGTGTTAAATGAACGTTGGAAAGTATTTTCCGGGAAGCCTTTTTTCACTGTGCCTTGTCTTCAGTAAATGCATTATTGAGTATTTATTCTTCTCCTCATTGTGTTATAATAGCTAAAAAGTCTTTTATTTGTTTAGAACAAGGGCAGGGGGACATCCCTACATTTTACACCTATGAAGAAGGATTATCCCACTTAACTGCCGAAGGCCAGGCCACATTGGAGAGATTAGAAGGAATGCTTTCTCAGTCTGTGAGCAGCCAGTATAACATGGCTGGCGTCCGGACAGAAGATTCAATAAGAGATTATGAAGGTAAGTATCCTTCTTTCTCATCAGTGTGAACAGTTAGATATTCACTTAGGCAACAAGGTCAGCTATGGAGAGACATATATATGTTCTTTTTTTCTTTTAAATATGTTTTTTTAAATTTTTTTTTTCATTTTTTATTGATTTCAGAGAGGAAGGGGGAGAGAGAGAGAGAATCATCAATGATGAGAATCATTGATTGGCTGCCTCCTGCACGCCCACAACCCGGGCATGTGTCCTTGGCCAGAATCGAACCTTGGACTCTTTTTTTTTTTTTTTTTTAATATATTTTATTGATTTTTCACAGAGAGGAAGGGAGAGAGATAGAGAGAGTTAGAAACATCGATGAGAGAGAAACATCGATCAGCTGCCTCTTGCACATCCCCCACCAGGGATGTGCCTGCAACCCAGGTACATGCCCTTGACCGGAATCGAACCCGGGACCTCTCAGTCCGCAGGCTGACGCTCTATCCACTGAGCCAAACCGGTTTCGGCATTAACCTTGGACTCTTTAGTCCGCAGGCCAATGCTCTATCCACTGAGCCAAACCAGCCAGGGCTTAAATATGTTTTTATTGATTTCTTTTTAGAGGAAGGGAGAGGGATAGAGAAATAGAAACATCCCTGATGGGGATCAGGCCTGCAACCTGGGCATATGCCCTGACTGGGAATTGAACTGGTGACCTCTTGGTTCATGGGTCAATTCTCAACCACTGAGCTACACAGTCAGGCCATATATAGGTTCTTTTGGAAACTAAGAGAAATCTCAGAATTAACTTTATAGTGTAGGAAGCAAATGTAGAATTACATAGAATGGGAATACTTGTGTAAATTTTTTAAAACTTTCTTTCCTAGCTACAATTTTTCAAATTGAAAATATTGGGGGGGGGGGGGGGCGGGGGGCACAGGTAAAGGAGAAATGAAAAATCAAGTACAATTCTAATTGAAAACATCTATAAATTTTCTGTTGCATATCTTTCCAGTCTTTTTGTTTGTTTCCTTATGTGTTATATGTGTGTATGCATGCATTGATGCTGCCATCTTTATTTTTAAAATGAATTCCTACATGATGATGTGCAAAACTAGTATAGTCAATTGATTTAAAGGCCAAGGCAGCATTTAAGAAACTTGGGTTCTCTTTCTGTGACCAATATCTGGGCCTTAAACAAGTGGCTTTAAGATGTTTATGTTTTAGCTGTCTCATATTTATAAGCTTCTTTGTAAATATTTTTTCTATTATACAGTTCCCTTTCCTAAGTATCCTAATTAAATTAGATTCTTGAAATATTTTGATTCAGCCTTTACCATTTATTCCCTTATCCAATCCAATACTGAGTTCCATGGATTTTTCTTTTAAATGACTTTTAGATCTCCTTGTTACTACTACTGTTATCTTCCAAACTTAAGCCCTTTTCTTCTCATGCTGGATTTACATAGTACATATTTTGCCCCCACCATCCCTTTCTCCAGCTCACTGTGCCATATTAATCTGAGAACACTCTGTTACCCCTATATAAAGCTATCTCCTCTAGTGTTTGCCTGATGCTCACCATATAAAGTTCAAACTTGTTATTCTGAGGAGGAAACCCTGTTTTTGCCTTAAATATTTCTAGTCTTGTTCCTACTACCCTCGATAAAACATTTAGATGGTGTTCTTATGTGCCAGCCCCTGATTTAAGCACATGACAAATATTTACTCAAATAGTCCTTCCAAGAACCCTTTATGGCAGACGTGTTATGATCTCCATTTTACGCATGAAGAAACTCAGACACAAAAAGGTCACAAAGCGTGCTTCATGCCAAATCCTATATAATAAAGAGCTAATATGCTAATTAGACTGGACAGTGGGACACCTTCCGGAATGACCTTCCTTAATGACCTGTAGGTGGGGGGTGGGGCCTTGCGGTTGCGAGGCAGCTGGGGCTACCCCCATCGATCGCCCTGCAGAGGGTGGCGGCAGCTGGGGCTTGGGGCTGCGAGGGCCGAGCCCCTTGCACGAATTTTGTGCATCGGGCCTCTAGTAGCTAATAAGTGGTGAGAGGATTAAATGAGCTAATCTGCAAAAATAATATACCAAGCACTGTTATAAGCACTTCTTGTATCTTGCATGTGTTTAATATCCTATCTAACAAAGAGGGAATATGCTAATTGACCCTCACATTGTCGCAAAAGATGGCGCCCACAGCCAGTAAGGAGGGACTATGCTAATTGAATGGCCTGACCTCAAAGATGCTGGTATCCACAGCCAGTAAGGAGGGAATATGCTAATTGACTGCCATGCCCTCAAAGATGGCAGTGCCCACAGCCACAGATGGTGGTGTCCAGTCCCCTCAGCCCCACAGGGGCGGCAGGTGGCCGCTCCGCGCGCCTGCCTCCGGAGTCCCCCAGTCCCCTCAGCACCCCAGATGCCCATGGCCGGCCCGAGGCGCAGGTAACCAGGGCTGGCCGAGGCTTGCGCTGCCAGCAGTGGCAGCAGCAGAGGTGTGATGGGGGTGTCGCCTTCCCCTGATTGCCAGGTGGCCTCCCACCCCTGAGGGCTCCTGGACTGTGAGAGGGGGCAGGCTGGGCTGAGGGGACCCCCTCCCCTCCAGTGCATGAATTTTCATGCGCCAGGCCTCTAGTATGTTAATATTTTGCATTGCTACAGAATTTTAATGCTTTTAATTTTTGGTGACATAGAATATTAAAGTGTTACTATCTTTTTCTTTTATTGCAGTGGTTCTCAACCTTCCTAATGCCGCGACCCCTTAATACAATTCCTCATGTTGTGGTGACCCCCCAGCCATAAAATTATTGTCGTTGATACTTCATAACTGTAATTTTGCTACTGTTACGAGTTGTAATGTAAATATCTGATATGCAGGATGTATTTTCAGGGGTTGCAACCCACAGGTTGAGAACCGCTGTTTTATTGGTACATTTAAGTTTCTTTCATAATGCTGTGATCAACATCTCTGTACACATAGCACATTGACCTAGGGATCTTGAAGTTCTGGGATATTTTAGTTTAGAAAATTTAGGCTGTGTTATTCCTTGTGTCTCCTCTCCATTTTAAGCATTGGCCAATAAATCTCTAATATAGGCTTTAGGGTGAGATGGCTCAGATGATTTCTAGTGCCCTACCAAACTCTTAGTTGAAAGAATGCAAGATGTTACCTTTTTATTATAGTGATTGGAGAGTGCTCCTGACCATAGAAAAGCCTTTCATCATTGAAGGTTTTTGTTTTTTTTTTTTAATTTTAAAATCCCTTATTTAATGCTTTGTAACAAGTTGATTTTAAGATCTCAAACACTTTGCTAAAGTGAGATTTTTTGGAACTTTTATTTCTAAGTCTTATTAGCATATTGAGAGTTACTGTTACTTGTATATGAAACTTTAGCCTATACCCGTGTTTGGCAAACCACGGCTCGCAAGCCACATGCGGCTCTTTGGCCCCTTAAGTGTGGCTCTTCCACAAAATATCACGTGCGGGCGCGCACATACAGTGCGATTGAAACTTTGTGGCTCATGTGCAGAAGTCGGTATTTTGTGGAAGAGCCAGTATTTTTGTGGAAGAGCCACACTCGGGGCCAAAGAGCCACATGTGGCTCACGAGCCACGGTTTGCCGAGCCGCAGTTTGCCGACCACTGGATACCATTCCCCATCTTCTAAACTCCTGAAGTTTATCACTCTTTTTGACATTTATTTATTTAGTCAATTTGACCTTTTCTTATTTTAGAAAAATATATTTGTAAAAATTTAAAATAAAAATTGCATATATTTAAGATATATAATGTGTTTTGATATACATACATAGTGAAACGATTACTATATCAAACTAGATCCCATCTCCATGCATAGTTATCTTTTGGTGTCTATGTTTGTAGTGGGAACACCTGAGATCTGTTTTAGTAATTTCAGTCTTTTTGCTATTTAAGCATATGTACTATCTACCAGTGACATTTCCATGCTTTGTGTGCTTATGTTAAATGTTTTTGTTTTGTTTTTTAGCTACTGTGCCAGGTATAGAGAATATGGCAGTGCCCAAGAGAGATGAAGTTATTATCTTCATATCAATTTTAGAGGAGAGAAAAATAAAATTATTGGGCAGTTACAGTTTATTGTGGTATAGCGTTGAGATACAGGGGAAGCTTGAATAGCTGTGGAATCAGAGGCTGGACCCTTCATCCAGCCTGGATAGTCAGGGAGAAAATCACACTTCATGGAATAAGTTACATCTAAACCATGATCTGGAAGATGAATAAAAATGACCCTGGTGAAGAGGGATGGCATACAGGTTGGGGAGAGAGGCAGGTAAAAGGGTCATCCATGTGCTAACTGAGAACTGAAAGTAGTTCATTATGTCTGCGACTCTGAGAGTGAAGGGTAGTTATAGCAACAGATAAATAAGGAACTTGAAGCTCTGTTAAAGAGTTTCAACCTTATGCTTAGGTCTGTGGGAAGCCATGGAAAATTTTTAGTTTGATTAGTGTTTCTCTGGCTATGCTATGGAAAATTAGTTGCAGAGGGAAATACTGGAGGAAAGAAGAGAAACCCTGTTAAGTAACTTAAGTCTTTAGTTAGATGAGAGGTAGTGGCTCAAATTAGGTAGTAGCACGGAATGTCAAAAAAACTTAACAGATTTGGGAGATATTCAAAAGATAGAATCAACAGAAGTTAGAGCTGTGGTGGGAGTTTCTGCATTGGGCATGTAAGAGGTATCCTTTAGCAAGACAGGAAAGAAGCATTTTCTGTGTGGAAAGATGATGAGTTAATTTAGATACATGTTACATTTTTATGCCCTGCTGGTGTCCAGATGGTGCAGTGCCAGGGGGCAGCAGGCAGAAGCCATATTGTGGGCTGGAGAGTTGGGTAAATGGAAGCTGAGTTGAGGAGGTGGAGACAGGAAGTGTGGACAGCTCTTTCCAGAGGGCTTTTCTTTACTTGTCCTAACCTCCTCTCCCTTTAAAAAAATGAGATGAGATAAATAGGAAAAGCGAGAACCTTGCTTTACTTTGTCTTGTCTATTGAATTATGTCAAAGCTCTGTGAGGATAGGACTTTATACTTTAAAAAAAAAAAAAGTTGTACAGAAATTTCTAGCACAGTTCTGTGAAGAATGAACAATTATAACTGTGTTTGGAAATTCCTACGTTATGTTAGTGTTGAGACTGAGAATTTACAAAGTAAATGTTAAGTGTTTAGACTCATTTTACTTTAGCCTAAATCCACAGGTGGCATTTTTCTTTCTCAATGTGTTTCTTTATACTTGAATTTTCAAAATAGCAACTCTTACCAACAGAGGGCACTAGCTTCCTTCTGGTCAAAGTAGAAGCTGAATCTTTTCCTGATTAAAGTGCTCTGTAGCCGAAACCGGTTTGGCTCAGTGGATAGAGCGTCGGCCTGCGGACTGAAGGGTCCTAGGTTCGATTCCGGTCAAGGGCATGTACCTGGGTAGCGGGCACATCCCCAATAGGAGATGTGCAGGAGGTGGCTGATCGATGTTTCTCTCTCATCGATGTTTCTGACTCTCTATCTCTCTCCCTTCCTCTCTGTAAAAAATCAATAAAATATATTTAAAAAAAAATAAAAAATAAAGTGCTCTGTAGACTTTGTTCAGCGGTCAATTTCTTTTTCTTCAGATGGGATGGAGGTAGACACTACACCCACGGTTGCTGGACAGTTTGAGGATGCAGATGTTGATCACTGAAAATGATTTTATGTTGCTTTGGGGTAAGTAGTTTATTTTTCCCTTGTCACTGAACATGAAAATCCTTCCTAATAATTAATTTTTATTTTCATAATTCAGGAGGATTGTATAAAATGAGCAGTTTGGAAAAAAGTAATCCATTCCTGACATTATTGAAAATTATGTGTGTGGTGTTTTCTCTAAGAAATCAAGGTCTGCAAGCATGGTGATGTTCAGGTTGATAAACATTTACCGAGCATTTAACACATGCCAAGCACTGAGAGTATATGGAAGATTAAGATACACCCATCTTCAGTGAACTGAGGAGAATGACATTAGCCCTTTATTCAGAAATAGAGCGCTCCCTGGCTGGCTCAGGTGGGAGCTGCAAAGCCTGAGATCATGTCCTGGTCTGCTCTTGAGTCACCTTTCCCCATTTGTGACTTGAAATCTTAATATTTTCATCAGAAAATACAAGCAGAGATTTGCTGCAACTCACTGCTATTCAAATCAGGGAGGAAGTAGGAGCAATTTCAAACTTAGTTAAGCTTCTACTCATAATCTTGTGTTGGCTTCTCTACTTCTGAAAATAATGGCAGACCAAGGTCCTGGGCACCTGACTGTTCAAGGTTGATTTGCCAAACCATAACAAGTCCACATACAGTTGTCCAAAAGTTACCATTTCCAAATTGTTTCATACCTGCTTTTCCTGACTAGTACAAGAGCTCACTGCCCATTTTCTCCCCTCTGATCTTCTCATGAGCTTTGTCTGTATTTTGTTCCTCCCGCGCCCCCCCTCCCCAAGAATATAGTGCTTTACCATTTATAAATCTTTCACACACATTCCACTTGACCTTCACAACAACCCTGTGAGGTAGGCAGCACAGATATTATTCTCAAGTAACAGATGTGGAAAGTGAATTTCAGAGCAGTTAATTGATGTACCCAAGGTTCTACAGTTAGTAAATAATTTGTATTAATATCAGTCTTTGGCCTAAAAATTCAGCACCCAACCTCCCCTCATACTTGCCCTACCTACTTCACAGGGATAATGAAGATAAAATGAATTCAAGGCTAGAAGAATATTTTGAGAGAAAAAAGCACTATATAATTATACCAGCAAACTATAATTTTCCTCTATATATGGCTTATTCTCCTTCTCATCCCCTGTCACGCACAGGGAAGGGTAGCGGTCGTACGCCAATTACCATGTTTCTCTTTTATTAGATAGGATGTGTTTATAACAGTTAAAGTGTGATAGGTGAATTTAACATATATATATAGATATAGATATAAAAGTTCTATAACATCTGTTCAGAAAAGATTATATACTATACAAACTATACAAGTCTTACAAAACATTCTTCAGTGTCTTTTCAACTGAGAAGAATCCTATTCAGCACGCTTCTCCTGAGGTGGTTCATACTGAGCAAGCTTTGCTTTCAGTTTTTTATTTTCTTCTACAATAGCTTCATATTTCTCTTTCATTTCTGCCAATTCTAGACGAAGCAGCTCTATTTCTGGATTTTCTGGGGTAGCAGCTCCTAAGTGATGCTTTAAAAAATCCAAAGCACCATTAGGTTTCTCTGGTTCTTCATATAAGGCTACCAATACCTTGGTCAGCGTGTTCAGCACTCCTGACTTCTCCAAGTATCTCTGGAATTGCTCATGCTTCGAGTCGGCGGCTTTGTAATGGGCCGTAGTGACAGCGGCAGTGGCGTAGCTGGCGCCGGAGACCGTGGCTGGCGGGCTCTGAGCAGCCTTGTTCCTTTTTTTTTTTTTTTTTGCTACATGTTACTCTGAGAAATCAGTTGTCCTTTGCCAGCTTAAACATCGCAACTGAATGTTAGATAATAACTAACCCTCTGTACACCATAAGCGTCTGTAGACGCAAACTTTGCATATCAACTCTGGTCGACCAATTTTAAAATCAGGCTTGTTAGTGACATCTCTGGGTTTGTAAAGAAAATTCTGATAACTTAATTTCGTATGTATTCCAGTGCATATGGAAGAAATTCCAATATCGACATATAGGGCCGCACTCAGACGCACGAGAGATAAACACTGCGACACTTGAGATTTTTTTTGTTCATTGTGACACTTGAGATTTGTTTGTGTTATTGTAAATTTCACACCTAAAATGGTAAACATGGTGCGCATTCTTCATTATTTTTTTACAGATTTTGTCTTTGGAGCATCAACAAAATTTATTGTTTTTGAGGCTTTATGTGTTGACTGTTTATTTTTATTTCGTACTCGCTTTTGTTGATATTTCCATAGAATTGAAAATTGTCATGATTTTATTATTGAATTTATCGTTGTAATATATTATATTGTGCAAATAAAATTCAATCCTCATAAATGGCATCAGATGAAGAAATAATCGAACCAAGCACTTCATAAGAAGATGACATCCTTTATTCAACTCCAAAGTCAGATGATTTTTTTTAAATTCAAAATATCGTGTGTGGGGATGTTTCCATTTTGGACGCGTGGCAGTTAATAGGTTAAAGGTTATGTAACTAGTTCATATCATACAGAGCCAAGACTAATAATCCTAGTCCTTCCTTATAAGCTCTAAGATTTTCACATTAAGTTACTATCCCTTTTCTCTATAGTATCCTGCCTCTGATCTGATAGCATTTTCTTGAATACTAGCTTTCTTCCAGTCTTTAAAATGCTACTTAAGTCCAGGTCTTTATTAAAACAGGTAGTAATAGCATGGCAAGATTTATATATTTTGACTTGACTTTTCTACTATTGTCAGGCATCTAATTAGGTTGTGAGATCCATTATCCAAGTTCCATTTACCCTCTAAATTATTGCCATTATGAATATAACATTGCTTTTTTAAAAAAATATATTTTTATTGATTTCAGAGAGGAAGGGAGAGGGAGAGAGAGATAGAAACATCAATGATGAGAGAGAATCATTGATTTGTTACCTCCTGCACGCCCCCAACTGGGGATCAAGCCTGCAACCTGGGCATGTGTCCTTGACCAGAATCGAACCTGGGACCCTTCAGTCCACAGGCTGATGCTCCATCCACTGAGCCAAACCACTAGGGCATAACATTGCTTCTTATGCTCACCATGTTTTCATCTCAGGTGCTGCCAGGTGACCTATCAGAAAATATTCTCTTAGAGTCCTTTTCCTTTTTTAAGTACTCAATTTTTATTTTTGCAACATTTACTTCTGTCATTGGTAGCCATACAGTCTAAAATTAGCAATGTCTCCTCTACAGTTAACTAAAAAATTATATTCATATTGCTGGAGCTCTGTTAACTTTAATTTTCATATCTCATAGTTTCAGATGCCATCACTTCAGCATTTTATTTCATGGGAACTCTTTTGGTACAAACTTAATTCTTCCCTTTTGTGTTACATTTTATTTATCATGTTCTTTATAGCATGTTGGTTTTTCAGTTCAGTAGTACTTTTTATATCTTATTGAAAATGGAAAACAGATTTTTTTGATTTGGCTTTCACATATTTCTTCCTGAAAAGTAGACTAGAGAACACCAACCACTCTATTAATTATGAGAAACTCATTTGGTCTGTCACTAATGGTTGCACAAATGGGATGTCATTCCAGTTCCCAGGAGAGAATTTGTAGGATACTCTGTAATGTAATTTTATGGTGAAATAACCATAAAATAGCCACAAACTTCTAATGAGGTGATTTGTTTTCTATTCATTTTATGCTACAGCTGGAGCTGAGAGATATTTTATTCATCAGGTTTATGCAAGTTCTTCATGTGGATAATTGACCTGAATTTCAAACAATGCCTGTATATTTTTAATCACTTAAAATTGTGTTTGCCTTTAAGGAATGAGCAAGGATTAATTAGAGTGTTTATGAAACAATTAAAATTTTCAAGATAGTGGAACCTCGGACCTCTCAACACATGAGATGGGGTGAAGGGGAAGACACATGAATGGTGGAATCTCAACCCTACCACATACTGGCTCTGTGTCTTTGGACAAGGCATATAACTTCTCTAATCCTCAGTTTCCTCATCTGAAAAAAGGGGATGATGGCATGTTGCAATGACTGAGATGTAATAATATCTAAGTCTGGTGGCACTCTTGACTAGGTGTTCAATAAATAACAGCTATTATTATTACAAACACTGTAAACCTTTTGTTTTTCAGATTCTGCTCATAACTGTAGGAGAGAACTTGGTGCCTTTTCCTCTGTGGAGTGGGTGTTGATGAAAATATTTTTCCTTCTCCAAAACTTCCTGAACCAGTTCTTTCTTGAGACAGACTGTATGAGACAACAAGTTGTCACCAGCAGAAGAAACTATGACCTTTATTAACCAAGGTGAATTTACTTAACCAAGAGGGTATTTGTAGTTTATCTTTTATCCCCAAATTTTCTGTGTCTAGGTACCTTCTGAGTAGGCCTATAATTCCTGCCTTCAGTGTATGTATCTTCCGTAACCTAGCAGGGGTATGTGGTGAAAATGCACGGGCACTTAGGGGATGGAAGAGAGGCTGAATCTAAGACCCCTTTAGGGCCTAAGGACACCCTTACCCTTAAGAAAGAAAGACTAAGATCTCAGATGAATCAGGCCTCTGCTCGTTCTCCACAGGGGTGAGGATCTTTTTACTATTGGGACCCAGATTAATTAATTCAGGCATCTCTAGGGACCCTTTTTGGAAACATCCCAGCCACACATACTAACACAAGTGCTGCTTCTGACTAGCTTTGCTCCTTTCACCGTGTTTCACCAGTCTGTTCTGTTATAGCTTCTTAGGTTATGTTACATCCTTTCATTTGTAGCCTCTTCATTCAGTTTCTGTAGCAGAACACATGAAATTGGGATGAAGTCCTCAAAGTACTCCACATGATAATTGTTTTGTCTTTGTAATAGCTTAACAAATAAATCTAGGTTTTCTATGTTATTGTACTCTCATTCTTGACTAAAACCATTAATGGGAAATGTTGTTTTTTTTTTAATGTTGGCAAAAATGAGAATCTTGTTGGTCTTATTTTTGTTTGACTTCTGAGAATATGAACATGAAATGAGTAAGGAAGTGTGTCATTAAAGCTTCTGGCAGATATTTAGTAGGGCAAAGATTTAACACATTTTAAGGAATTTCTGCTTCTTCCACTTGATTTGGAGTAATTTCTTCTAGCATACTTATCAACTCAGTTTGTATTTACAGATTTATGCTTGAACTTCAGTACCATTATTTGACTTTAAAAATAAGGTTAGAAAAGCTGTTTGGAATCACTTGGCTAGTTAGTGACTAAACTTTGTCATCACTAAGCCCGGTTTTATTTTCAATACTTTCCCTTGGTTTCCCTCATCCTTCATGGTAGACTGAAAAGAAAGTAATTTTTCTTTTTCTGACCCTCTCAGAAATACCAAATTTGTTACAATAGGCAAGTGAAAGGGCCACTCGGAATGGACACTGGAATGTACTGAGACCTTCATACCAACTACTGTCCTGAGTTCTCTACATATGTTATGCATATACTATTCATAACTACATACGAGGAAGAGATATTTTTATTGCTCTACTTTAGAGATGAGGAAATGGTTTAATTGAGAGGCAAAGTAACACTTAGTATCATAGAGAGAGTGAGCTGGGATTTTTAAGCCTTACCATCTACCAGGAGCTGAAAGGAAACACAGACTGCTATAAATCTCAGCAGCACTCACTCTGTCCTAGACATTTACCCATTTCAGTAAACAGGGTATTCTTATGCATGGGTTGATTTTAGAAATTCTATTTGGGTACCATTTTATTTATTCATTCATTCATTCAATAAAAGAATGTTTATTTAGAAAGTCACAGAGGTAGAAGTGAACCGTAGAAGAAAGGGGCCCAAGAAACAAAAGTTACAGAGGCAAAAGAAGGGCCCTTGAAGTTTAGGAGGAAGAGGCCAGGGAAACTGACGTTGAGGAAGGGGGTGGGGAAAGATGCTGACGTGTTCTAGAGAGAGAGCCACCCTTTAATCCCCCTCCCCTTTTTTAAAAATATGTTTTTATTGATTTTAGAGAGGAAGGGAGAGGGGGAGAGAGAGAGAAACATCAATGATGAGGGAATCACTGATAACCTGCCTCTTGCACACCCCACACTGGGGATCAAGTCCACAACCCAGGCATGTGCCATTACCGGGAATTGAACCATGACATTCTGATTCATAGGTCGCTGCTCAACCACGGAGGCATGCCAGCAGGGCTTGAGTTCCTTTTTAAAATCATGTTTACAGACTTGTAATCCTAACTTTTAGTGAAATATAAAGGTCTCTGATAACATGCCAACAAAATGTCAAGAAGATTCTGCTCATTGTGTTTCCTATGGGCACTGCTGTGCTCGGCCTGGTATTGTGGATAATATACTCAACTAAGATGTAGGAGGCCAAGCATCTCCTGGCGGGGCAGACAAGATGCAAAGAGTCACCTGTCACATTCTGTAATACCAGTCAGTTGCACCCACGGGAGAAAATAGGAGAAGGAGTGAGAAAGAGATTAGGTCAGACTTCTAAAAAGTGAAATTCATAATTATCAGGAAGCCAGCATTTCTTGATTCTATTTGAGTTTAATGTTAGGGTTGCTAGAATTGTTTCATTTCTTGGTATAGAACAAATTCAAAGAAAGGCATAGACATTGTCTGCCCATATGCGAGCCATCTAAAATATTCCTAATAGCTAGGACTAGTGGTCATCTCCTAGATTCTGTCGTTTTTAACATATATTCATTAAGATATGATGCCAGCACGTTTCCTCCTCCCTCCTTGTAGGTTATGCATTTTGAGATCTTGTTAGGATCTTTACCAATATTAGTAAAAAGATTATGCACAGGTTATCATAATATGTAGTCCTTTACTTTTAGAAATGGACAAGTGTGATTACTCATTGCTCAGAAAGAGATTTGCATTTGTTTTACCTGCAGGATTTCAGATAGTAGCACTACTGTATAACTAACTCATGCAAATCCCATTTTATAAGTGTTTCTAGAATGGCTGAATCTACATCTGCTATCCATCTGTGGCTAATATATAGTAATTGAATTCTAAGCAAATCTCTTATGAAGGTTCTAATAGAATTATTGCCGTCCATTGCCAAAGAAGCTGAAACAAGCATTTTTGGTAGAATCTCACACTGTCTGCTTATTGATACATTAGGGGCCCAGCGCATAAATTTGTGCACCTTGAAAGGAACTGTGGGCTGCGAGGCTGCGGTGGGCACAGGGGTGGGTCTTGGTCCATCCTCAGCGCCCCCGCCCTGCCCCTCCTGCAGCCGTCCCCAATCCCCTGTCTGCCGGCAGCCCTGCTCCCATCACTCCCATGCACTGACGGCACACGTCCTGCTCACGCCCACTGACGGCACAGAGCAATTGGGACCAGTGCCAGCAATGGGTGCAAGCGGGGTTTGTGCCAGCAGTGGATTCAAGTGGTGGCTCTGGCGCCAGCAGCTGGTGTGAGCAGGGCCATCTTGGCAGCGGGTACAAGAGGTGGCTCTTGGCCCCAATCACACCCGCTGGTGGCACCGAGCAATTGGGGCTGGTGCTGGGTGCCGGCAGTGGGTGCAAGTGGGGCTGGCACTGGCAGCAGGTGTGAGCACTGGGTAGGACCACAGGGCACAGGAGCAAAGAATTTTCAGTAACCACCAGAGGCTCACCCCGATGACATGAACTGGCGCCCTGCTTTGGTCTGGCATCCCCACTCACCTCCTCCACTATCCCTCTGCAACTGATGCCTGCCATGTTCCACGCTCTGCCACCTGCTGCCGTTGCCTGCCATGGTCCGTGTACACCCCCTGGTGGTCAGCACACGTCATAGCGACCGGTTGTTCCACTGTTCAGTCTATTTGCATATTAGGGTTTTATATATATACATAAAGCCAATATGTAGTATCAGGTAGCTCATAGTTTCAGATGGGAAATCAGCCTTTTAGGAGTACAGTGGACCTAATTTTTTATTTGTTTTTAACATAATTTTAAGAAGATAAAAAAGAGAAATGGAACCTGGGGATAAGTCTAAATAAAAGTGAATACAAGTTAACTAATTCTTAGGATTTCTTTTTTTATTTTATTTTAAAGATATATGAATCACTAATATACACAGAACAACAGTGCCTAGAAAATGGCCCAATAAATGTTAATTATTACCAGTAGTAGTAATTCTTTTTATAACTGAAAGGAGAAGCTTAAAATATAACATTAACTCATCTCTAAGAAACCTGAAATATAAAAATCCACTGAGCAATTAAAATATATGTGGTGAAATCTGAATTTTTCTCACAGGACCTAAGGACTTCACTGCATGTCTCTACTGCTCTACAAACAGGTCTGATGTAGCCGAGCATCTAGTTTCTAGGCAAGCCACAGGTTAGAAAAGGAGAAAGGAACGTTTGTGTCCGGCATAGCAATAGCAGTAAAAAGCTGATAGAATTATGACGAAAAGCAAATATATGTATTACAAAAAAATACAACAGTCTAAGCCTTTATAGCTGCATGGTGCAAATTTGAGGATAGTGCAGCAATTTATGTTCATAAAAGTATGACCAAAATTATGAGCCCAAGTTCTGGTTGTAATTGGGCAAATATAAGCAGAAAAAATTTATTCGAAGCCTATCTGGTAGTTCACAAATGGATAGCAGCTAGGAGTGGTTTACATAAGATGTTTGATTCCTCTGTTGCTGTTAGACTGATTTCTTAATGGCCTCCATGTCTTTGAGTCACCACAGAGTCCTGGTTGGCACTGTGTGTGTTGCCAGGGACAGAAGATGAGTGGCCCCATCAGCTTCTGTAGTGGGAGGGCATTTCCCCTGCCCAGATTCTTACAATGGAAGATTAACCCAAATAGAAGGATGCTTGGATGCTGGCTTGCAAAAAGTTTATAGCTATCTACTGCAACCCCAAGTTTTTAAAAAGTACTTCAACAAATTGGAATTGTATATAGTAAAAGTAAAGAAAGCTTGTTTTTTTTGTTCATCATCACCTGAGGGTATTTTTTTTCATTGATTTTTAGAGTGGGAGGGTGGGGAAGAGACAGTGATGTGAGAGACACATCGATTGGTTGCTTCCCGCGTGCCCCAACTGAGGCCAGGGATGGCACCTGCAACTGAGGTACATGCCTTTGACCGGAATCTAACCCATGACCCTTCAGTCCATGGGTTGATGGACGCTCTTACCATTGAGCCAAACCAGCTAGGGCAAGAAAAGTTTTTATGAAAACTGAGGGACACATTATTTGTCAAAATACACATGTTCTGTGATCTAGAACAGCGGTTCTCAACCTGTGGGTCGCGACCCCTTTGGCAGTCGAACTACCCTTTCACAGGGGTCGCCTAAGACCATCCTGGATATCAGATATTTACATTACGATTCATAACAGTAGCAACATTACAGTTATGAAGTAGCAATGAAAATAATTTTATGGTTGGGGGTCACCACAACATGAGGAACTGTACTTAAAGGGCCAGAAGGTTGAGAACCACTGATCTAGAAAATCCACTTAAAGAAATTTATCCTATACATAGTTTGCACATTAGTAAAGGTTATATATGCAAGGATATTAATTACAATTTTATTTGTAAAAGTAAGACTGAAAACCTCATTGTTTATAATTAGGTATGGATCAATTTGCAGTACAGTTTAAGGGTTAGAAAATTATCCTTAAAAGGAGTTAGGTAATACTTATGTATTGATACTGAATAAGCTCCAAGATATATTAAATGGAAAAGATCAAGATGCAAAGATATTTTATATAGAAGACATGGGGCCAGCTGGCATGCTTGTGAATACATGAGATACCTCTGGAAGGACATAAGAAAGTGGTTATAGTTATTTCTGGTAGAAATAGGAGATGAAGAGGAGGGGGAATTTGGAAACAAGCAGATATGAATAGAAGTTAAGGCCATATGAAGATGGAAGAGTGTAGTAATGGAT